ATATATTCCTTAGTATATATGAGAATCAAAACATTCATGCGCACTTCTTAGCGGCCTGGTGTGGGTTTGGTGGGTGGTGAAGCAAGATATGGATCCAAGTGCAACGAGAAGCCCCCCGCCTACCCTGCTTTAAAAAAATATATAATAATATTCTTGACTATTGTTTAGAAAAAAAAAGTTTATGTGCACTTCTTAGCTGCCATATTTTGGGTTTTGCGTGTGGTGCAGCATGATGTTGAACCAAGCCCGAAGTGGGGGGGGGAGGCGGAGCGCCCCCCCCCTCGCTACTTGAAAAAAAATAAATACATATATTCCTTAGTATATATAAAAATCAATACATTCATGCGCACTTCTTAGCGGCCCGGTGCGAGTTTGGTGGGTGGTGAGTCAAGATCTTGACACAATGTTCATGATTGACTAGCCTGTCTGCTTTTTTACGTGCGGACATTGCCCGCACCGCCCGCACCGCGGGCGCTAAGCTAGTTTTAATAAAGAGTTTGGTTCCCTGGCAAAATTTGCCAAGGGTACCATCACTAACGAGGASCCATGGAAGRCACTCYTCGATAGCATGGTCCTGCGCAGCGCACGGGGGAGGGGTACCAGAAGGGCGAGCTGCTGAGACAGACGGCCTGCCTGAACGGCGGGCATGGGCRATACTCCRCCGAGATTAWYGGGCCTCCTGAGTTGRCCGTGGGATGTACGAATAGAGAGGATAGTTGAAATTTCTGGGAGGGGGGTAGGCAGGGTGTGCACATACTCAGGAATAGAACGACCTTCTTGTAAAAAGGTGTACGATGGCGAGAGGCAGTTCGATGCGGGAAACAGTCAGTTGCGCACCGCGGAAAAGTTAGCGCAGCGGGAAAATAGCGAGGGTGATGCTAAGTTGTAATCGAAATAATGAAAATAGCGGAAAGCGGGAATTCAAATAATACATGGGCAGAGCTTAGGCGGGAAAGCGGGCGGCAGCGAAGACAAGTTTGTATATTATTGTATATTATTTATTATTCACTAGGGTATACTGGCGAGAAAATTTTCGGGGGAGGATACGTGCCAACAGTACGCAGCGTAGGTGAAAGATAGTCTGTTAGGCACGCGACCGCAAGTTTATTATTATATACATATTATTTACCAGGATTTACTGGAATTTTTTTGGGGGAGGATACGTGCCAATAGTACGCAACGCAGGTGGAAAATAGTCACTTAGGCACGCGCTGGCAAACAAGCAGGAAATGGAGCGGAAAATGCGAAGACGTGGAAATTCGAAATGGAGGGAAAATAAGGTGCAGAGAATAACGGATTCCAGGAGCGAAAGGGTAGTAGTGGTAGATTTTTTAAAATTTGAACTGGAACGCCCAGGTGCTTTTGGACCTGGAAGCACACGTGAACTACCTAGGAGTTCCGTGGCAGTCTGGCGCGTGCACAGGAGGCCGCATAAGAAGGATTGAGCGGCTGTAGGATCCGCACATGGATCCGATGTGGGATTGATTAGCCAATCAGAGCATAGAGGATGGGAAAGGCCGGGCACGTGCAAAGGAAGGCCAAGGCATAAATGAGGGCAAAGGCCAGACAGGCCCTCACACGCTCGTAGGGTGTATAGGCGCTGGTGGGCCGTAAGGCAACGGGGTGAGTGGCAAGCCTCTTGATGAGACCGGAGCGCACCCGGTTGAAACGTAGGGGAACGTGTGCGCGGTTACTTCGAGCATGTTGTACACGCTTGTTGCATTAATGGAAAATCTGTTGGTTCGTGTGTAAAGAGCAATCAGCCATTGCTTATCTTTCTTCTTCATGTAAGCATAGCAACCGAGTGAGAGGCGACACTTGCATTGGTGGCTACGTCGACTACGGGGGAGGGGAGGTAGACAAGAGGTGGGAGGCACATGGTAGTAGACCAGGTGATAGTGGACCAGTGTACGAGGACACACCAAGGGGGGAGAAGGTAGAGGAGGTAGACAAGTGGCAGGAGGCACTTGGCAGTAGATCAGGTGATAGTGGACCAGCGTACGAGGATACACCAAGGGTGGAGAAGGTCGAGGAGGTAGTGCGTAACGGTAAGAAGCAAATGGCAACGCCGAACAGAGCGGACGGGGCAGGGAGTGGCGGAGGCAACAGAGGTTGCTTCAACTGCGGACAGTCAGGACACTACGCAAGAGACTGCCCAGCGGGAAGTAACCCAGGGACACCTCAGCAGCAGCAGGGGGCGTACGCAAACAACGCCAGATACTGGCAGAGTAGGCGAGAGCTCGAGGAAGACATCAAAACCATGAAAGAATGGGTACAGATGAAGATGATGAAGGAGCAAGAGAAGTTTGCCAAGAAAAGGGAGGAAGAGGAAAAAGCCAGGCAAGATGCGGAGCGAAAGAAGCGACAGCAAGAGGAGGAGCGAAGGCAGACTGAGTTAAGGAGGCTCAATGAGGAAAGTGAGCTAAGGATATTGTCAACGGTGGCAAGGGAGATGCACCATTTTCATGCGGACGTCCGAAGCGACATACAAATGGCGCTCACGACGAGAGCGGGAGCCTCAAAGGAGAAGGGGAAAGGCAAGGCGAACTCACTGGATGATCATGCCACAGACGAACTCTTGAATTACTTGAAAAGGGATAATGATGAGAGCTCGAGGGATCGCGAGAACCGAGGAAGATGGGAGTTCACTCGGAGGAACAGAGGCCAAAGGACCGTGAGGAAGCTCGGGTCACCATAAACATCGGAGGACGGTGGGGAAGTAACACCGGGAGAGGGAAAAATGCAGAGGATGGACAAGAAGGTACCAAGAACATGCAACAGAGAAGGAGTAATAGAGTACATCCTCAATGTCAGAAAAAAGTACTCTGAAATGACAGCACAAGAAATCAAAAGGTTGTGTATGRAKGAGGGACTCGAACACGTGAAWAWGGAACAAGGCGTTAGGGAGCTGGTTCGCGCCWGAACGAGATTGGCGTACGAAGGCTGGTTAGGCGAGGGGTTACCGGGGAACCGCRCGGGAGAAGAGGACTGTGAGCGAGAAGGTAGCGATGCGGAGGACGAAGGCATCTACACGGACTGATGGTGGCGGCCCTTAGATGCGGAAGTATGGGACGACATGGCAAGGCTACTAAGGTTGGGAGGGGAGATATGGGGGCTTACTAGCTATTCAAAGCTACGGCTCTCGATCGAGAAGGCGCTAGCAGCGTGCTTCGTTTACTTAACGAAGCGAGGGAAGATCCCATGGGCAGAAAAGGTGCTGGAGTTAGCACCAAGAAACCATGATTTCTTCTTGTTCAAGCAACCGGTGGTGTATTGCCTTGTGTCGCCCTGGTGTAAAAATTTTTACGTAGGGCAGACAGCGAGAGGAGCTGCGGAGAGATGGTGGGAGCACATACGGTGTACCACTGGGGGTGACAAAGGGAGGTCACAAATTTTGTATAATTGGTTGCATAAGTATGGTTGGGAGAATTACATAGTCCTTCCCGTAGCAATGACGCAGGCAACTGGGCTAAGGGCATTGGAGACTACGCTAATCAAGTGGTTGTCTCCGGCGCTTAACGCTACGGGAACGGGTAGCAAGGGGAAGAAATGGAATAGACTGGGCAAGAGAGAGAGGAAGAAGCTCGGCGAAACAAGAACGTCACAAGCCAGAAAATCGCTTATCACGTTCAAGCTACAGGGTCGGAGTCAGGAGAGCACGAGCCTAAGGAAGATGATAGAGGATGCCAGTAGGGGGGGAGCCGATATGTATAGAGAGTAGTGGGGGGCAGATATGGGGTGAGAGTTGGGCAACAACAAAGAGGCTATATGGGACAACGTCGGTCGTGCCCAACAATGAAACCATCGCATTAGCACAGGCGAAATTACTCTTTGAGGCGAAATTACTCTTTGAGATCCGGAAGAATAAAGTAAGAGCAATCATGCGTACGCAGATCGAGGAAACGAAGTTGCACCCTGCAATTAAAGGTCTGCTGGTGAGAAAGGCAAGAATGGTATGGAGCCGCAACAGATCGGTGACGAGTATCCTCTGTAACCACAGGGAGGAGGCGAAGAAAGAAAATGCAGCCTGTACGTGTGCGGAGGATGAGGTGCCCAGAGTCGATGGGCACGCACAGGTCCTAGGAGTGGGAGAAAAAATCTGCAACGGGAAAAAGATCACAAGACCGTCCAGGAGGGTGGGAAAGACAGAACTCAGAGAGTCAGTATTCGCAGCGCTAAAGAAAACAATGGGTGCGCACCTAAGAGCCAAGGAGAATGACCTGCAGTTGAACAGTTGTTTTGCGGAAAGAGGCGGTGATGATTTGGCAATTAAAGAGGAGGAGGTGAGGGAAATTAAGTATGGTTTCCGCCACCTGGTTATCTCGCAGGTAGATCGTAATCCGAGCGAGCTGGTACTGATGTGCCCCTCCACGTACCAGCATGCCCTCAAAAAGATGTTCATCTTCAACTCGGCTTACGCGTGAGTCGAAGAAGCGGAGGTGACGATCCAAGCAAGGATGAGGGAGGATTACAAGCGCGCTGGTTTGGAGAAGGTGGCAGCTTGGAACGGGAAAGGAAGGATAGGAGACGCGTATGTCCTGCCGAAGCACAAGGACCTCGAGAAATGGAGACCAATAGCGCCCACAAACAATGAGCCCACGAAGACGGGGAGCATGAGAATAGCAAGGGCGCTCAACGCCCTGCTGGTGAGGCTGCCAGCTGGAGAGCATTTCAACATGGGGGTAACAACGCAGCTGAAGGAGAGACTCATGGGAATCGAGAGGGAGCGCGGCAGCAGAAGAACAGGCGCCATGGCAATATTGCGGAGCTCTGATATCAAGGAGATGTTCACATCTCTCCCGCATACGAGTATCATCGAGGCTGTGGAATGGCTGCTCGGTGAATGGGAGAAGAAGAGAAGAACTGGGGTAAGTGTGAGTAGGAGAGTGAAGGAGGTAGTTATGAGCAAGAAAAGCATGGGAAACGGGTACGTGAAGCTCTCATTCCATCTCATAATAAGCTACGTGAAGTATGAGCTGGCACACACTTACACAAAGTGTGCGGGAGTACTGCTGAAACAAGAGGTAGGAATCCCCATGGGGAAGAATTCCAGCCCGCCGTTAGCATGCATTCTCTGTGCAAAGTTCGAAATGGAATTCATGAGATCACTCGGGAAGGATCGAGCACTGGTGCATAGTGTCAGGTTCATGGATGACGTGGCGACAACAATATTGGTGGACAGAAGGAAAGAAGATTCCTTCCATAAGGCAGAGGAGATTATGGCGAGGTTCGAGAAATGCTACGGAGACAAGCTCGTCCTGGTGAGGACGGATGAGGGAGACAATACGATTGATTTTATAGGGGTGAAGGTCACGGCCGTGGCGGACCCGGTCGGCTTCTTGGTACTGCCGCAGATGAAGAACCAGGACTGGATAGCAGAGAAGGACCTGTCGTTTAGGAGTTTCCAAGACTATGCCTGTTACTCAGACAAAAGGGCTAAGTATGGGGCTATCGTAGGCACGTTGCACAGGATCCGGGGCATGGCTAACTCTGGTTGTGCAATAATCACGCCCGTGCTGACAGTGAGGAGAGAACTCAGATGCCGGGGCTACCCCCCGACGTTCTTTGCATCTTCCCTGGCAAAATTTGCCAAGGGTACCATCGCTAACGAGGAGCCATGGAAGGCACTCCTCGATAGCATGGTCCTGCGCAGCGCACGGGGGAGGGGTACTAGAAGGGCGAGCTGCTGAGACAGACCGCCTGCTTGAACGGCGGGCATGGGCGATACTCCGCCGAGATTAACGGGCCTCCTGAGTTGGCCGTGGGATGTACGAATAGAGAGGATAGTTGGAATTTCTGGCAGGGGGGTAGGCAGGGTGTGCACATACTCAGGAATAGAACGGACCTTCTTGTAAAAAGGTGTACGATGGCGAGAGGCAGTTCGATGCGGGAAACAGTCAGTTGTGCACCGCGGAAAAGCTAGCGTAGCGGGAGAATAGCGAGGGTGATGCTAAGTTATAATCGAAACAATGAAAATAGTGGAAAGCGAGAATTCAAATAATACGTGGGCAGAGCTCAGGCAGGAAAGCGGGCGGCAGCGAAGACAAGTTTGTATATTATTGTATATTATTTATTATTCACTAGGGTATACTGGCAAGAAAGTTTTCGGGGGAGGATACGTGCCAATAGTACGCAGCGTAGGTGAAATATAGTCAGTTAGGCATGCGACCGCAAGTTTAGTATTATATACATATTATTCACTAGGATTTACTGGAATTTTTTTTGGGGAGGATACGTGCCAATAGTACGCAGTGCAGGTGGAAAATAGTCAGTTAGGCACGCGCTGGCAAACAAGCGGGAATAGAGTGGAAAATGCGAAGACGTGGAAATTCGAAATGGAGGGAAAATAAGGTGCAGAGAATAACGGATTCCAGGAGGGAAAGGGTAGTAGTGGTAGATTTTTTAAAATTTGAACTGGAACGCCCAGGTGCTTTCGGACCTGGAAGCACACGTGAACTACTTGGGAGTTCCGTGGCAGTCTGGCGCGTGCATAGGAGGCCGCATAAGAAGGATTGAGCGGCTGCAAGATCCGCACCTGGATCCAATGTGGGATTGATTAGCCAATCAGAGCATAGAGGCTGGGAAGGGCCGGACACGTGCAAAGGAAGGCCTAGGCATAAATGAGGGCAAAGGCCAGACAGGCCCTCACACACTCGTAGGGTGGATAGGCGCTGGTGGGCGTAAGGCAACGGGGTGAGTGGCAAGCCTCCTGATGAGACCGGAGTGCACCCGGTTGAAACGTAGGGGAACGTGTGCGCGGTTACTTCGAGCATGTTGTACACGCTTGTTGCATTAACGAAAAATCTGTTGGTTCGCGTGTAAAGAGCAATCGACAATTACTTATCTTTCTTCTTCAAGTGCAGCCTTCGCAAAATCGCACTTGAGTTCAAGTCACCTCCCGGAGGTGCCTTGAGTTGAAGCGCTACCCTTGTTTTTTGTTTTTTTTTTGCACTGAACCATTATATTCCAAAGTATTTAAACGAGGCCGGGGACCTCACAATTCTACCCGGAGTTAGGGTCTCTTTAGACACTCCTAAAAGAATCCAAAAATTTTAGGACGAGTCCTAAAGGATTTCTAGGATTTCGTGCGGCGTTGTTACACGCAATCCTAAAAATCATCTTTTAGGATTCGTCCTAAAAGGTCTTCCGCGACCGGTTTTCATATGCGTATACGCAGCCCCGTCGCCAATGTCCATCCATTCCAGGCTGGTGTCCGTGGTACACACTGCGGTGGGCCGTCGGCGGGTGAGGACGGGTCATGGTCGTTGCCCGCGTTGACCCGCAGAAAACCTCCGATGTCCGACCACTGACGTGACAGACCGCTTCTGCACCAGCAACTCCGTGTTGACGGTGCCATGCGCGCGACGCAATGAGTTTGTGAAACATGGGAATCCTAAATTTTTCAGTAGGTCGGGGCCTACTGGGAAATTTAGGACGATTTTGCCTGGGGAATCCTAAATCCTTTAGGTCTCGTCCTAACTCCGTTTTCACATTTTCTATCTCAAAATTGGATTTAGGATTGCGTGCAACCGAGACTCAATAATAAAAAAAGGCACTTTTAGGAGTGTCTAACAAGACCCTTCGGGCCTCGTTCGTCACCACTAGAGAACCCTAGAGTCTCAAGTGCGCCCTAACCCAAATGGTGATTAAAAAATACTTACTGCAATCTTCGTTTCAAGTGCACTTCACAAAATACTTGAAACGGCTGCACTTGAAACCGAACTCCACGGCTTGACCAATCCTGGACCAGGATAGCCTTTTGGAAAAAAAGAAAAACAAAAAAAAAAAAAACCACGTGGAGTGCTGGCGGTATCCGCTGACACTTGAACTCAAGGCTCCTCGGAGAGGTACCTTGAGCTCAAGTGCGAATTTGCCCCAGCGGACTTGAGTTTCGAGGGCTAGCACTAGAGAACCGGAAAGTTGAAACAACTCTGCGGGCTGGTTAGGGTGGGGTCGAACGAAGAATTTTCCTTCAACCCTTGAGTTCAAGTGGTGAACGAGGTCCTTATCCTAGCAGCAACAACCAGTTTAACTTACAGTCTTCAGACCGAGGAACTTCGACTTCACTGTCAACAGATACAAATAATATATTTTCCTTCCTCCCAATGTCTTAACTTTCCTGTCTCTACTGTTTACTCCACCTCCAACATAGGTATCCAGTTATCAGTCCAGTTGGTGTTCCTCCCCTATTATCTCCCTTCTGTTCGACTCTATCTGTATTCTATCCAGTTGTGCCTGCGTTCTGTCACTCCAAGTTAAACTTGGTGACTCTTATTCTCTCCCTCAAAACTTCTTGGCCTAAAGCGGCCTCTGGGACTAAAGCGGCCCATTGGACATTGTCTGCCTATCTTGACACTCTCGTAAACAACCCACTAAGGTTCTAAGGAACCGAGTGTCCTGGTACTACCCTTGGGTTTCAGCCGTAGGAGCAGTGGGTTTTTTTTTTTTTTTTTTTTTTTTTTTTTTTTTTTTTTTTTTTTTT